ATCGAGGATCGACGTCCCGAACCAGGCCTTCTATGGAAAGAATTGGTTTGTAAGTACCTGGCATAAGCACGTTGCACAGTTGACACTGACAAATCAAGTGCCTGAGCAACGTACTTTCGACTTCTGCCATCTTTAATTAAAGCAATAACTTGAGCAGCCTTTTCAGGATTTATCGTCCCTATAATCGACGCAATAATTTCGATGCGAAACAATCAATTATGGTTTAAATTGATGAAGTTGCACGAAGCAACGCGCCTCGAAAGGAAAAGATCACGGAAAAAGAAAAGTCGCACGAGGCAGCGCTTATCGGAGTGAACACGTTCGGAAAAGGAAAATTGTTTGTCTTTGTTCATTGTCTTGGCACATACATTTAAGAAAAATCCAGTCAAGCCAGGCGTTGAAGCCCGGCGTATCGACAGAATCTCAGTCAAGCCAGAACGTAAGCCCGGCGTACTGACAAACTCGCGAAGTCCAGCGTACAAGAGATAGTGCCACTATCGGCGGTGGACCGTACGAAGGCCAAAAGCTGTAGGAAGGCAATCTCTGATCGTCTCCGCGGGCATTCTTATATGCCCTGGGCAGCTCGAACTCACATGCGAGCCGAGGGGCTCGCGCGCGCGACAACCTAGATCGCCGCGTCGCGGCAGCTCCGTGGACTAGGAGCGCCAGGGAATTTCGACGTTCAGGTGGCGTCCAGCGACTCGGCATCCCGCGCGCCGAGTCACCGCGAACTCAGGCGCGATCCTGAACAGCATATTCAAGCTGTGTACCATAATGGCCAATCGTACGGAGAAGGTAGAGAGCTAGGGACAGCTTCGCGAACTAAAGTGTATACCACAGTGATCATGCGTAACTGAAGGGTAAAGAATGATAACTTTTGATGAAAATTAAATTTCCAATTCGCAAAATTGTGTAAATTATTGTATAGAGAATAATGAACGCGGCTATTGAAATTATGAAAGAGCCAAACGAACCGCAGAGCCTCTTAGCCCCTTAAGCCTCGCTGAATCGACATTTGTTGCAAATTCGAAATTGAATATCTCGACACCTAAATATCCTAGCAGCAAATTTCAAAAACGGTTTGAAAGCTTTGAAACCGTACTTTACGAAAGATCTATCGAAATTGTGCGCAACGATATTTTTTCAAAATGGCGGGTGATAAAAAGGAGAACATGAAAAGTTGCTGAAAAAGGGTTCAAGCGTGCGACGGCGCATGGAGCAAAGTAAGTGTCGCAGCTCAATGGGACGAAAAGTACCTAAAAGTATACAATGTTTTCTTTAAAATACTTCGTTATAGAGCTTGATGCGATACTTATTCACTGAATTATGCAAATTTAACAAGAAAACCGCATTTTTAGCAAAATTTGGAACAACTCAGTGAAAAATGATCACATCGAGCTCGGTAAAGTAGCATTTTAAAGATAACACTCTATACTTTCATGTGCATTTGGTCCCATTACGCTGCGATACCTGATGCACACCATGCACCATCGCAAACACGGACCTTTGATTATCAATTTTGCATCCTCTCACTTTATCATCCGCCATTTTGAAAAAATGGCCGAGCATAATTGCCATTCAGATATTCTTAAAGAGGACGTTTCAAGCTTCATTTTGCATTTCTGCGCATATTTGTATCTTCATTATTTACCAAGTTATGATTATTTGAAATTTTGTAATTTTTTCCCAAATTTTTAGTGTACCGGGTTTTTTGCGTTTGAGTGTATTTTGCAAAGACCAGAACAAATGAAAATCTGAAGGCGCAATCATATCTGGAGAATATGGTGGGTGCTGAAGAATTTCCCATTGCAACTCCAGCAGGTTTCGCAACGTCTGTTGGGCGACGTGCGGTCTAGCATTATCCTGGAAGATGATGCCTTTCTAACTGGCCAAAACCGGACGTTTTTCTCGAATAGTCGCATCGAGTCTAGTGAGTTGCTTACAGCATTTGTCCGTTATGATTGTTTCGCCGCGTCGGAATAGCTTGAAATGAATAATTCCCCTGCAATCCCACCATACACACAGCAACACCTTCAGTGGATGTAAGCCGACTTTTGTGACGGGTTCTGCACCTTCAGCTGCTTTTTTCAGATCCTCTTTCACTGTACGTTGTCGTACAAAATTCACTTCTCATCGTCTGTTACCATTGGATCTAAAAAAGGCTTTTTTATATTACGTACGAGGAAAGAAATGGCCACATTCATGCAGTTCAGCATATTTCTTTCAGTCAAGAGATGCGGCACTCATATATTGAGCTTGGAAACGTATTCAAGCTTTTTTAAATGGTGAAACGTAGTCGAATTATCAATTTTCAACCTCTCAGCAAGTGTAATCCTCCTGTTGTAATCCTTGGGTTTTCTTCTACTAACAAGGGACATTCGGCAACGCGGAAATTCAAAAAAATCTGAAACTCTGCATAATTGTAGAGCAGATATACCTAATAACAAAACAATTTTTCGTTGGTGCCCAAAAACGGTTTTAAGGGTGGAAACAACCCCTTGAACAAAGTTGATTTTTGTCTTTCTAAGCGAATATTATCGAAACTATTAAAGATATGAAAAAATGTTTTAGACAAAAGTTTTATGGTTTTAAAAGTACTTTATTATGCTATATTTAGATTTTTAAAAATGTAAAATTGTGTATAAAATACCCCCCCTCCTTCTCTTTTTCAAATTGTTAAAATCAATTGTCCAACCAAAATAAAGCTTATTTTATGACAAATTCAACCATGTATAATAACATTATGTTTGGAAAAGGCAATATTGAAAAAAAAATTAAACATGCTCTTATATGTATGCTACGCGTACCAAACTTAAGGATTCGCTACTTGACGATGGCATTTCTTTCTTCCTCAAATCTTCCTCATAATTGCAAACTGTAAAAGATAAGGAAGGAAGAAAATAGAAAATCTAAAAAAACAATAAAGTTGATGTTAAAAAGTAAGTTGAAGAAGAACAGCATGATAAGGAGGACGCAGAGAGAGTGTATATAACCCTAATATAGATAATCTTTTAAATTCAATTGTAAAGAACAAATAAGGAAATGAATGATATGAAGAAAAAAGGAGAACACACACGGATTTAATAATGAAAAATATAATTTATAAATTTATTCAGTGTACATTTGTGTGTATGTGTTTTGCTTCATTCAGTATATAGGTTTTATTAATTAAGTAGTCGATATAGATATTCGAGTGAAAGATATCTTATATTTTGGTATGGATTATAATATATACAAATTTTACAGGAATTGAGGACAGTAAAATATTATTTATTCTATATAATTATTACAATAATGATATTGCTCAAAGAAATGTTCAAAACAAAAATATTGCTTGCACCATGCGCAACGTATAAAAGCCATTTTACCACAAATGCTACATTTTGGTATACGTTTTTCTTCTTTAAAATAACAATAATCGATTGGATTATGAAATTTTTCAGGTCGTGTTGATAAATAACCACTTTTATACCAGCTATATCTAAATAAATTTCGAAATCTTGGAGAAGACAGTTGATTGTGTGTTAAAGATTGCAATTTTATTATGTTATTACGTAAATGTAAATTTATGTCATAATTATTTATAATAACACTATCAGAAAAGCTTCGAACAAAATTTTTCCAGATTCTGAAACCAAAAACATCTAATGGCTGTATAAAAGCAGTTGTTTTTTTGGTATTGTTAGAATATTTACATGTTTGTCTTTTGGTACAAGTTCTTCCAATTGGTTCGGGCAATGTCCTGGCCATGAATCAAGCAGTAGTATACTTTTCTCTCCAGTGTTTGGTAGATACACTTCTTGGAACCAATTTTTGAAATGTTCAGTTGTCAATTTCCCTGATTTTGAAGCCGCAATGTAAATATTCACTGGTCTAAAAAGAGTTTGTTCTACTTGTGGTCCAAAAACACCAGTAGATTCTTTTAATACTATGTACAAAGGCGAAAGGAGATGTCCATCTGCAGATATAATAGGCATAATGGTGTAGCTATGAGTCATAGCAGATAAAGATTGGATAGTAGCTCCAACTGTCTTCACTCCTACATTAGCTAATGTTCTTCCTGCATGTATTTCTAAATTAAAGCCACTTTCGTCCGCATTATAAGTTGATTCAGCACCGATTACATTAATATGTGGCTTTACTGTATTTACAAATTCCTCAGCGTTTTGACGTATAGTTAGATCAGTTAAATGAGAAGACCGCGTTTTAAATGCAGTTATTTTACGTGATGTAATACGATGTGCCTTTTTAAAATTCCATATCCACCAATTTCCTGCTTTAAATGAAGAAAAATCCACTTGTTCCTTTGCTTCTAGTGCCCATTTTCGCAGATTTATATCATGAATAATAAGTCCTCTATTAACAGCTTCTTGGAATTTTATAAGAACATATTCAGCAATAACTACAAGTTTGTCTGTATTTGAACCCCCACGCATTACATGTTCTTGCCATCTGTGCAATTGTTGAATAGATTTTACCTAGAAGAAAACAAATCTCAATATTAAACAATTCGAATTCAAAAATAAAAGAAGTTATATACGAATTAAATGTTCACGAAACATCAAATTGTAAAACTTAAAATAAAAAACAACGCGACTCTAACTATATAATTTACAGCTTTGGTCATAAGTATAAAGCATCTCTAACTCATTGTATTTTCCTAGAAATCAATGCATATACTCATAGTAAATATATAATCTCTTTACAATAAATATTATATTAATATTTTATAATATAATGTGTATATTATATTTATGTATATTATATTTATATTATAATTTATATTATATTAATATTATATTATATTACAATAAATATTGTAAAATAAATATTATTTTCCACATATTCTTATATTATATTTTTTTATTATATTATTTTTCCATATACTCGTATACTATATTATGTTCTCCATATATTCATATAGTATGTTTTTGTTACACAACTTAAATAAATTTTTTGGGATGCTTTATACTTATAGTCAAAGCTGTATGTACAATGACCGACAATGATGCGTTCCGCGAGAGGGGAAATAGAGTTCTCTCTGTCGCGGAACGAATCACTGCCGGTCACTGTACACCGTAAAAGCCTCAAGTATTTTACTATATATTATTCTTCTTATTTTTTAATTAAACTTTACTTTTCTAAAACGATGTTGTACAGAAGTAAGAGATAAATGTCCTTTCTTTCCACTCTTCCAAAATTCGATTGCCTTTTTCTTATAATTTAAGTTTACATTTCCACCTTCATCATCCACAGTGCAAACTTCATTTCCATAATTATCTTCTTCAGCATCAATATCGTACACATCTACAAATTGTACGTCATGCGGTTCTGATGGATCGTCAAAATCAAGTCCCCACTCATGTTCGATCGTAATATCGTGATGTATAGCACTCTTTATTAAATCAGTAATTGTATCATGGAGTTCCACCTCTTGATGATTAACAGGAGTTATTGCAATATTTGTGAAATGAAATGTCGCAATTAACAAATTAATAACATTAGCTGGATTTATTACTGACATTATGATACAAATCTTAAGGATATTTTAATTAAACATTTCTCACAGCAATAATAATATACGTACTGCTTCAATAACTGCTTTAATAACACTGAAATGTATTCCAAAATGGACAGCTTTTATATGCAAATGAATGAAGATAACATATGTCAATATAATGAACCTTGATTGCACTGTACTTGATAAAGAGTGCTATTTTGGTCGCACAGTCATAAAACTTGTGACAAGTGTTTTGCATGTTGCCATGATGTACACACACGTGCGCACGTACAAAAACACACATACACACACACACATATTTATTTATATTTATGCGTGTCGTTTAAATTAATGAAAAAGGTAGCCGCAATGTTGGCAAAATAAATGTCTATTACGTGAAATTTTATAATTTATAACATTTTTAAATATTAGTGACTGTATCCTTATCATGCTATTTTTCTCCTACTTACTTCTTAACATCAACTTTATTGCTTTTTTAGATTTTCTATTTTCTCCCTTCCTTATCTTTTACAGTTTGCAATTATGAGGAAGATTTGAGGAAGAAAGAAATGCCATCGTCAAGTAGCGAATCCTTGAGTTTGGTACGCGTGGCATACATATAAGAGAATGTTTAATTTTTTTTTCAATATTGCCTTTTCCAAACATAATGTTATTATATATGGTTGAATTTGTCATAAAATAAGCTTTATTTTGGTTGGACATTTGATTTTAACAATTTGAAAAAAGAGAAGGAGGGGGGGTATTTTATACACAATTTTACATTTTTAAAAAATCTAAATATAGCATAATAAAGTAATTTTAAAACCATAAAACTTTTGTCTAAAACATTTTTTCATATCTTTAATAGTTTCGATAATATTCGCTTAGAAAGACAAAAATCAACTTTGTTCAAGGGGTTGTTTCCACCCTTAAAACCGTTTTTGGGCACCAACGAAAAATTGTTTTGTTATTAGGTATATCTGCTCTACAATTATGTAGAGTTTCAGATTTTTTTGAATTTCCGCGTTGCCGAATGTCCCTTGTAAGACACACACAATATCGTCATCAATGCTAGAAGGCCGTCCAGAGCGAGATTGATCTTCCAAATTGAAATCACCATTTCGAAATCTGCTAAACCACTTTTTAACTGTCCGAGAGCAGGAGCACGGTCCAAATAAACGCTTTGAATGTTCTTTTATGCAGTTCCAACACTCACGCCTTTCCCAAATTCGTATAACATTATATGCTGCAAATACACCTTTTCATCCTTTATTTTTAAAAAATTCTCTTACGCACAAATCGACTTATCTGAACGATGTCTGACGCTAAAGTAACACAAGACAGTGTCACCTATTCAGTGCATGCAACATAACCAAACAAAAACACCGGAGTTCCGCCATGCAGTAAGTTAACGCCATTTAAGAAAATCGGGCACGAACTTATGCAATCATCCAATATATCACAGTTTATTACGATTTCAGTTTAAGCTATTTTTAATGTCTCCTAAAATGATTTCGTAATTGTAATTGAAAGTATATAGTAGCTACCGATGTGGCTCTATGCGACAAGACAGGAGTTTTGTACGAATAATGGTGCTTGTCCTTCACGCCACGCGTGACAACTATTTTTTTCAACTGGGCCGCGCGAATAGCTCGAGCATTTCAAACGCTCCTCTCGTAACATATCGACGTATTCTCTCTTATTTATTTAATTTCTAAGATTAATATCTTGATTACAAATATATTACAAATCGATTATATTACAAATATCGCAAAATATGAGATATTTTTGTTCATCTAAATCCATTGTATGATTTTATGAACGATGACAGAATTGTTCCAGGATGCAATTGTAGAATTGTTTTTGTATATATATGTATTTTTAATCAGATTGATCAAGAACAATTAAATAAAATTATGATAGACTCTGGTAAAAGAGAAGGTGCTAATTTAGTATCAGGTGGAGAGCGTATTGGCAATAAAGGATATTTTGTTGCACCAACAGTATTTGCAAATGTCATAGATGAAATGGCTATTGCAAAAGAAGAGGTAAGCAGTATAAGACCATACTTTATTATATTTAATTATTAAATAATTATTAAATAATATTATGAGTTATTCAAAACATCTAATTATTTTACACAGATATTTCGTCCTGTTCAACAAATATTGAAATTTAGTGATCTAGACGAAGTTATTGAACGCGCTAATAAAACTGATTATGGATTAGCAGCTGCAGTTTTTACGAAAGATATTGATAAAGCAAATTATTTAGTGCAAGGTCTTCGTGCCGGTACTGTATGGTATGTTCTGGAAATGTAATAAAAGTTGCGACTTGCTGCACGAGATAATAGACAATGATTTCCATCCCATACGTATATAGGGTGTCCAACCTACATGTTAGAAATTTTCTCTTAAGAGCTCCAAACACGTAAGTGTATAAAATAAATGCAATCAGAAAAGTACCCAATAAAAAAAAACGAAATAGAAAAAAATAAAAGCGAGACTCATCCGTTGCTACTGGATGACATTGAAATTTGGACGTACCGTCAAATTGCCGTGACGATGAATGAAGAATTTGACTGGTTCAGGAAACACAACTCATGAGATAAAAATATATAAAAAAAAGTACATACGCACACATACATAACCAATCAACGGTGGCAATGAACAAAATATGATTAATTTAATATTGACTATTTAATATTTAATATTAATCTTGTGTTGACATCAGTAGTGAGATCACGAACGGCCTATTAGCCGAATTGGCTGACAAAAACTGCAAGAGACCTTCAGCAAGGCCTCCAGAAGATAATCCTCTTGAAGGTAAACGAAGCGAAATACACCAAGCCTGATATCGATGACTTGCAACAAGACTTGGCGCTGCGCCTGATCAACAACAATAGCAAAAGATCGGGCAGTCGACTCTGAGTGATTTTGCTATAATCAACTATCGTGAAGTCTTATTGCCTGAGGCCTGCTGAGTTTCTCTCGCATATTTGTGATGTGTAAGTTGATTATACGCAGATATCCAGGACCTACAATTATTATTAGTTACTGATGAAATATTAAATACTAATTTGTCGTATGGCGATTTTAAAGTAAAAAATATACTTGGGTCCGGCATGAATTACTACGTACAAAAATGTAATTTTTTAATTATATTTCTTCATATTTCTTCACTATATTTCTATATACGAGATCCTAGCGATAGCCATTGGTGCTCCAGTAAAACAGCATATGCGCACTCTTCTCTGAGTTTATGCAGCGTCTGGGCGGCAGCAAGAACTGGAGCAGAACAACTTCTGTATTAACACATGGGAAGATCGATGTGGCTATGAGAGCTTTTAATCCGATATGGCTGGAGTCCAACTGGATTTGAACAAGACTCCGATTAATATGTTAAATGCACCCAAGGATACAATACAATACAATAAAATTGTATGCTGGAGTACAATTATGCTGTACTCCACGAGTGGAGACAACTGGATCAGAAGACACGACGCATGAGATAAGGAAAAAAAAAACATTTGCACACATGCGCGTGTAACACTAGTGTTGAGTATTATCTAGTTAATCAGTTAAAAGGGTAGGTAAAACGTTAGAAAGAAAATTTTTAACTTTATTTACTTGATTTTAATTAAGGAAACTTTTAACATAAACTTGTTATTTTAAAGTGTACTGTAACTTTAACTTGTAAACTCTTTTTTATACAAGTTAAAATAATCTATCAATATTTATTAAGTTATTGGTTAAATAATTGCGAGCTGCTAACAATTTAAAATAAAAAAAATAAAATGTAATGATAGAAAAACTTTTTGTCTCTCTGAGCGCCAATGTAATTGAGTTATATTGTGTAATTAGAGTTATATTGAATTTGCAGAATTATTGAGCTACCAGGAAGAGGCAACACAATTTCAAGTCGTTGAACTGCACCAATCTCATCGGTTGCACTTTTCCTTAGAGTAAGTACGTAGTTTTACTGTTGCGTTTAACAATGAATCAGATACGCTGGAACTACGAACATTTTTGTGCCGTAGGTCTGCTTGGATATCACTGATGATTGACTTTGTGTTCCTTTGGCCACAGGAAAAGAAATAGTACGACATATATTTCGTATACCTACATCTTTAAAATATATTACGTGAAATCAGTTTGTGTTATAGAACATATACTACATGTTATAGAACATATACTATAAATAAAGTTGTAATTTGATAAATTTTTACTAATATTGTTATTCAGACAGTCCAAACCTGATTCTCCCCCGTGGATGCCACCTTGCCGTGATGGGGGAGCTTGCGTGTCCTAATGATGTACAGGGCTGTACCGGCGGGGGTTTCGACCCCTGGCAGGTTCTACCATGCCGGGGTGGCCTGTACGGAGGGACCAGACTAAGAGTGTCCTTATCATTCTTGGAGGCGCAGCTACCTCCAATTTTTATACAGAGACTGGAGGACCGTACTCGTACGATCCAAAGGTCCCTACAGCGCGAGCAGAGCGGGCTCGTGAGCCTGGTGAAAGCAACCGGTCTAGGGGAAGGAAAACCCTGAATTCAAACCCGTAGTTGTGAGGCACGTATAACCCCACACTTTTGCGAGGGACTAGGGTGTTTCGGCACTCTGGTACGGGGGATCCAAGCGAACCCCGGCAGACCCTAGCCTATCATACCGTAACCCTAGATCATGTCTCGGGGGTCTTACCTTAATTGGCCGGACCGCGAGGTGGGTCCTTCATAAAATACCACATAATCCTACGGTTGAGGCATGCCACGCTTATGGGATGAATGGCAGGTGCGTGACCTGTCGCTAGTGGTTCCTCACCCATGGAACCTGGCGCACCATGAGGACATGCTAGCCTTGCGCCGGGTAATGCGGAGGCTCCACCCGGGGTCGACGACCCCTTCCTGCCGCACTCGCGGGACTCAAAATGGACTTCGAATTTAAAAACAAAACCTCCGAGCCTTCGGGCTCAGCGTCTTCGGGCTCACGGCTCCGTACGGATAGGCGTAGCAGCCCGTCCCAGAGCCTACCACCCCTTGTGGATGATCTTTCAGATGTCTGTGTAGAAGTAGAAGAGGTGGGAGTGGTCCAAAGACCGTGGACCTTGGAGGGCTAGCCTCCAAGGGGCCACATACTGAGGATCGACCACTGTCCTTGCCGGCGCGTAGTCAGCCAGTCCCCCCTGACCGCGGGGGTGGACAGGTGAGCCTTCCGGTTAGGAAGAAGGCAACCACCCAGCGTGGGACCGAGAAGTCCCTGAGGTCCGGGACCAGAAAGGAACCGGTACCAGGGGCCAGCAGGCCGGGCCCCCTCTATTCGAAGAGAGAGCCCGCCCCCATAACAACACAGGGGACATGGGAGGGGGAAGTCAAAAGGGAAGGGATGGGGAAGGGGGATCCAAGGGGGGAGCTGCAGCGTCTGGACGGAAAACCGGAGTACCGGTGATCCGTTCAGACGTAATCCTTTCTCAGGGATCTAGAATCCCCATATTAGAATTTCTAGGAGTGCCCAGGCCCAGGCCCTAGCATCGAAGATCGGCCTTTGATGTCCAGGACGACGAGCGACGGGAGCGTAGTCGCTCGAGCTCTATCCTCGGAGACGACCAGCGGGGTAGTCAGGTCCAACAGGGCTGCGACGCTGAGGGCCTCATACGCAGCAGCAACAGCCAGCGGAGCAGCGGGCACGTCAGCGCCAAGGACGGACGGCGGAGCCGCCAGAAACAACGGTGGCAGAAAAAGGGTGAAGGCCGGTGATACCAGCAGCGGCGGCTCATCGGTGGTGGAGGTGAACGTCCCCTCCTTGATACCCGCCCCGAAGAAGCGGGGTAGATCTGCTACAACGGGGAAAGGGATGGGTATTAGGGAGAGGAAGAAGAAGGAGATAGAGAAGAGGAAGGAAAAGGAGCTGAAACGGTTGGAGAGAGAGGCCTGGGACCTCCTCGGCAAAGGGCTGTATCGCTCTATGGAGGATACACGCCCGGCCGAGGAGGTCTTTCGGAACCCCTCTTCAATCGAGTCCCTCAGGGGGGCTAGAGCGTCGGAGCTGGCCTCGGAGGTTGGCCGCGCGTTGGGCGCGGTGAAGTTGGTAGCACGAAGGTCCAAAACTCTCAAATGGACTTTTGTGGGGCTAATTAACCGCGCTGTGGCCACCTCCGGGGCGGCGCTGGCCATCCTGATTGCTAGGGTGGCCGAGCAGGAGGGAAGGGGGAATGAGACCTCCGCCTTCAAAGGGGAAATAGAGGTTGAGGGAGGATAATATGAGACTCAGGGTTGAGACGAGGCGGCTGGCGGAGGAGCTCCAAGTCCTCAAAGCCGCCGCCCCGTCTGTCCCTGACCTCCGGCAGTTCCCCCTTTCCCTTCCGGGAACAGGAGGCAGACTTATGCCGACGCGACAGACAGCTCCACTTCGACAGAGGAGGCGCTGAGGGATGCAAGAACTCTGGAGAGGAAGAGGAGGAAGAAGAGAAGAATGGGGAGAATTTCTCCGTCCCTTCCCTCAAGAGAGGAAGAAATGAAGATGGGAAGGGGGGTTTCCTCCGAGGAAGTGCCGTCGTTTGACGACAACCTCCCGGAGGAGACCCCCCCCAGTGCGGAGACCGGAGGGGGCGAAAGAGGCCCTGGACACCGCCTTGGCCAACGCGGTCCCTTTGAACAACGTCAGGGCGAGACTATACAACCTGAGAGTTATGGTGGTCCGCCTCGACGCCGAAAGAAGGGGCAGCCGCGTGCCCGAGGCGGCGGGGGCCTCGATGCCCACTCCGGCTCCAAGAAGGAAGGAGATTGCTGCTCCGGGGAAGACTTTACTTTCTAACCTATTATTAAGGTTCTTTTAATAATAGGTTTAATTTTTTCACTTAAAGATACGAATTTTATAAAGAGGAAACTAGAAACATTTACTGTCTTCCTTTAATGCTTTAACAAACTGCTTCATTGATCCTAATTTTATATGCAAGGGTGGTAGCAGTACGTCTCTCGGATCAATGTTTAGTTCACAATATTTCCACAATATTGAACCTGATTCCAATGACTTTCTCTTTGGCGAATTTTTTTGTTTCCAATGTAACTCATGCGCTCTGCTATTCCACTCACACAAAAAACAAGGAAATTTTATGTAACCACCTTGCTGCCTAAGAATCATACCAATTGCTTTTAGGTCACTACAAAATTTCCGTTTATGATTTTCACACTGCACTAATTAAAAAATGAGTTTCATATTGATGTAAGACTCGCGTAGGTGCACTGAGTGAAATATGGGAATTGAGGCATATTTATTAGGTGTACAAATGAATAATCCAATTTTTTCAGCTGCATTCAAGGTTTATTTTAAAAGAAAGTAAATTAAATTGTTTAATCAAAGTATTCGCCATTGCTTTCTATAACTTTAATCCATCTTTCAGGCAGCTGATGAATTCCATCTCGGAAAAATGTTACGTCTTTGGACACGATAAAGTCGTCAAGCCATTTTCGGATCTCATCCACTGATTGGAAGTGCATATCGGACAAGGCGTGTTGCATCGACCGGAACAAATGATAATCGGATGGAGCAATGTCTGGTGAATACACTGGGTGCTGCAAGATGTCCTAGCCAAGACTCATTACGGTGTCTTTTGTATTGGAAGCAATGTGTGGCCTGGCGTTGTCATGCAACAATTTCACTGGACGTTCTTCTTTGCCAGTATACGAGCGTTTTCGTCCCAATTCTTGATTCAAGCAAATTAATTGACGTTGGTAGCAGTCCGCAGTAACTGTTTCACCCGGTTCCAACAACTTATAATAAAGCACGCCTTTGATATCCCACCAAATGCAGAGAAGAACCTTCTTTCCGAACCGATTGGGTTTTGCGACCGATTTTGATGATTCGCCGGGATTTACTCATGACTTTCTGCGTTTCGGATTGTCATAGAATATCCATTTCGCCCGTAACGATTTTCCACAAGAAAGACTTTCGACGCTGCTTGTTGAGAAGAGAAAGACACGCTGCCACTCGTTGATTTTTGTTGGTTTCAGTGAATTCATGCGGAACCCATTTTCCTTTTTCCTGGATCTTTCCCATCTCATGTAGGCGTTTGGAAATCGTTTGCTGCGTTACCCCCAACTGTTCTGCAAGCTCTTTTCGTGTTTGTGCCGAATTCTCAGCGAGCAGTTGTTCCAAATCATCATTATCGCACTTCAGAAGGCCTCCAGGGCGTTGTTTGTCGATTAGACTCAAATTACCACTTTTAAACAGCTTAAACCAAAATGCGCACACATCGTACGATACAACACCTTCGCCGAGAAAAGAACAAATCGATTCGCACGCTCTTGCAGCATTTTTTCCTTGTTGCAATTCGTAAAGAATGCAGTGTCAGATATGCACCTTACCCGTTGCCATTTTCGACTGT